GGGGGGCGGGGCTCGGCGAAAGGCTAATTTCTCATTAATGCAATTATCTAATCAACCAATCACATGGCAGTTGCTTCAATGCATTTAGGGGTGTGGTCCTGGTCAAGACAATCTCCTGAACTCCAAACTGAATGTCAGAATCGGAAAGAAAGGTGATTTAAGCAATTTTGAGCGTGGCATGGCTGTTGGTGCCAGACGGGCCGGTCTGAGTATTTCACAATCTGCTCAGTTACTGGGGTTTTCACGCACAACCATTTCTAGGGTTTACAAAGAATGGTGTGAAAAGGGAAAAACATCCAGTATGCGGCAGTCCTGTGGGCGAAAATGCCTTGTTGATGCTAGAGGTCAGAGGAGAATGGGCCGACTGATTCAAGCTGATAGAAGAGCAACTTTGACTGAAATAACCACTCGTTACAACCGAGGTATGCAGCAAAGCATTTGTGAAGCCACAACACGCACAACCTTGAGGCGGATGGGCTACAACAGCAGAAGACCCCACCGGGTACCACTCATGTCCACTACAAATAGGAAAAAGAGGCTACAATTTGCAAGAGCTCACCAAAATTGGACAGTTGAAGACTGGAAAAATGTTGCCTGGTCTGATGAGTCTCGATTTCTGTTGAGACATTCAGATGGTAGAGTCAGAATTTGGCGTAAACAGAATGAGAACATGGATCCATCATGCCTTGTTACCACTGTGCAGGCTGGTGGTGGTGGTGTAATGGTGTGGGGGATGTTTTCTTGGCACACTTTAGGCCCCTTAGTGCCAATTGGGCATCGTTTAAATGCCACGGCCTACCTGAGCATTGTTTCTGACCATGTCCATCCCTTTATGGCCACTATGTACCCATCTTCTGATGGCTACTTCCAGCAGGATAATGCACCATGTCACAAAGCTCGAATCATTTCAAATGGGTTTCTTGAACATGACAATGAGTTCACTGTACTAAAATGGCCCCCACAGTCACCAGATCTCAACCCAATAGAGCATCTTTGGGATGTGGTGGAACGGGAGCTTCGTGCCCTGGATGTGCATCCCACAAATCTCCATCAACTGCAATATGCTATCCTATCAATATGGGCCAACATTTCTAAAGAATGCTTTAAGCACCTTGTTGAATCAATGCCACGTAGAATTAAGGCAGTTCTGAAGGCGAAAGGGGGTCAAACACAGTATTAGTATGGTGTTCCTAATAATCCTTTAGGTGAGTGTAGGTCTTGCAAAATGGTTGCTAGGGTACTCTGTTTGGTTGCTAGGGAGTGGATAATCATGAAATGCCAAAGGCTGCATTTCAGTGTGAATTATATAAACCAACCCCTATCTCTATATGATGTTCTGATGCAGAGATACAGGTCTTGCAAAATGGTTGCTAGGGTACTCTGTTTGGTTGCTAGGGAGTGGCTTGGCAGGTGCCAATGATGAATCTCCAAAGGCTGCTTGTCAGTGTGAATGATATAAACCAACCCCCAACTCTATACGATGTTCTGATGCAGAGATATAGGTCTTGCAAAATGGTTGCTAGGGTACTCTGTTTGGTTGCTAGGGAGTGGCTAATCATGAAACACCAAAGGCTGCTTGTCAGTATGAATGATATAACCCAACCCCTATCTCTATATGATGTTCTGATGCAGAGATATAGGTCTTGCAAACTGGTTGCTATGGTACTCTGTTTGGTTGCTAGGGAGTGGCTTAACAGCTGCCAATCATGAAACTCCAAAGGCTGCTTGTCAGTGTGAATGATATAAACCAACCCCCTTCTCTATACGATGTTCTGATGCAGAGTTATAGGTTTTGCAAAATGGTTGCTAGGGTACTCTGTCTGGTTGCTAGGAAGTGGCCAATCATGAGTTGCCTCCATTATATCTTTGCTCTTACCCTTGACTATCGATCTAGAAACTTAATTTCCTCATCTTGATTGCCTACTTACAAAAAAAACTAGGGGAAAATGGTGCAACGACTGAGCAAGATAGGCAATTTGGCGGCCATTTTGATATGCAAATTAGAAGGTAAAAAACTCAAAATTTCGCTTGGGTACCATTTTTTTGGGACTCAGCACCCTTGAAATATGTAAGGTAGGCCGGTTCCCGACTTGTACCCATAAATGCTCCTCACTTCTTATAGAAGGCCATTTTTCTGAAATCCGTCTAGTCTATAGGCTTCTAAGGGATTGAAACTTGCCGGCCAAGAAAAGTTAGTAAAAACATTGTTAAAATAAGTCCAAGTGACTACAGTGGCTCAACCATAAGTTTATCAAGCGACGAGAATACTTTTTGTGCGCAAAAAAAACAACAAAAATAACGACTTTATTCAACTATTCGTTTCTGTGGGCCTCGAGTGAGTTCACGTAGCAGCTAGTCGTGTAACAGCGCAGCGCTTCTGGGTTGTACGTCAGAACGTAGGCTCCCTATTGGCCAGAATCACACCAATGACCAGCGTCTGGCAAAAAAGTATTTTCGTCGCTTGATAAACTTAAGGTTGAGCCACTGTAGTCACTTGGACTATTTTAACAATGTTTTTACTAACTTTTCTTGGCCGGCAAGTTTCAATTACAATAGAAGCCTATGGAGGAGGAGTGAGACAGCTCTCAGATTTAATCAAAAATATCTTAATTTGTGTTCCGAAGATGAATGAAAGTCTTAAGGGGTTGGAACAACATGAGGGTGAGTAATTACTGACAGAGTTTACATGTTTGGGTGAACTAAACCTTTAAGGGCTGGTAATATTATAATAAGATCCTCTTCATTCCTCAGAAGGGGAGCGAAATCTGATCGGCTTATTTTTTGACATGCTTGCAGAGAAAGACTCACCAGAATAAAGTTACTGAGTTTCACTTTTCACGTTTTCTGGGTTGGTAGAAGCACTGGGGACCCGATTATAGCACTTAAACACGGAAAAAGTCAGATTTTCATGATATGATTTCATGATACAAACAATTAAAAATTGGATTTGTACTAATGTTAAAGGGGACATTAGTAAAATCAAAATAGTAAATCAAATTGTTAATTGTTTGTTCATGTTAGTTCACAGTACATTAAATAATGTTATAGTTATCTGGTATCTAGATAACTAGAATTTTTTTTTTTCATACTTCATTGAAATTATGCTGGAAAAAGCTCCTCACTCTGAGCAAAATCACACTGTGCTTTTTCCCACACATGTATATAACAAGAGGCACTTAAGGGCCAAAGATGTAAATACATAAATAACATTCAAGTAAACGCAGAGAGTTCACAAACGTTAAGTGTTAAAACAGGTACGCTTCAGAACAGTCTTATCCTAAAAGATGACTGCAAATATATTCATATCACTATTAAACGAATACTGAATGTCAAGCCCGTTTCGGTGCGCAGAAACGTGTTTATAGCCTGTGAGATCTTGACCGACAGTTGCACAAGGCCGGAGAGGAAGTGAGGTCATGTGACTCACATGAACAGCTGTGGCCACTCGTCACAACACTGTCCACACCGAGATTACAGCACAAAACCATCTTCACATTATCTTCATCAGAAATTCTTCTCATTATCGAATCTTGTAATCAATGCAACGATTATTCTGTCATCAGTTACAGACATAGAAGGAGATAAACATTCACATGTCCATCAAGTAAAGACTGGATGCTATCAGACATGACAAAAGTATCTTGAAAGTACTAGATTATTTTCAAAGCTTCATGTGTGGAACGGACCAAAATATAAATGTGTATTAATATGATTCCATAAACAATTATTATTTTACAGTGTCCTTGTTACATCTGTTACACATTACTGTAGTAATGACAGTAAATGATGCATAATTACATGCGACTCAACTTAAACCAACCCCTAACCTGATTGTAAGTACATGTTAATTATTATTACTAAGTACTTAAATGTATAATTACACTGTAGGACACCTTAAAATAAAGTGTAACCCAAATTCTGCTATAATGACAGCATCATCAACTCTTCAATCATATTGCATGTTTTTATTTAATTCACTTTATCTCATGTTTCCTTTGTTTGTGGGTATTGCAAAATCTGTCATTATAGTAGAATTTGGGTTACACTTTATTTTAAGGTGTCTTTGTGACACTGTAATTATACATTTATGTACTGACTAATATTAATTAGCATCATGTACTTACTATAGGGTTAGGAATAGGGTTTAGTTTAAAGTCCCCCTGTAATCAATAATTTTATCCCTTAAAACTCATTCTTCATGTCTTAAAATATCTTGAATGTAACTCGACACCCTCGACTCATTTAGTATACACGGGTCTATGAATATGCAAATGAGCCCCGCCTCCACTCACTCACACCGCTCAGAGATCCACTGGTTGACGATCACACGTTGATCTGATTGGTTACAAGGTCGTTTGTGACGTCAGAAACACCAGCGATTTCAAACCGTGTTTTTGAGACTGTCTTTGGTTCACTGCAGTTTTAAGCAGAAAATACTCAGCAATGCTGTCGACTTATGAACTTACACATGGTTTGTCTTAAAGCATATTAAAAACACCACATAGACATATTTAACATTAAAAGCTTGATTTTCACCACATGAAGTTTAGTTGCATGTAATAATCCATAATTTACTGTCGTTACTACAGTTAGAACGTGTAACAAATGTAAGAAGAGTCAATGTAAAATGAAGTGTTACCGCATTAGCATCGCAGCATCATGACCTTGAGCTGCAAGAACTCAACCCAGTTAAACACACAGTATATCATCTATAAAGTGTAGCCTGAGACGCCTCAATGCAACTGAACGACACTTTCACATTCTGTGCTTGAGAGAGCATGTTTGAAAAGTTACTGGAATTAAAATTGGCCTTTTCTAAATGTAAGTTTCGTGGAGTGACTCAACACAGATCTGCATTCCTGTATTCTCCAGCGTTTACTCGAATCCTGATCAATGTGGCACGGATCGCTGAGTGATGATGTCAGCTGAGGGGGTGTGTGTGTGGTCTATTCACGGCTCTGTGTGTGTGTGTGTGTGTGTGGCACTGCACTTGTGCACAGTCTGTCTTTGGCAGTCTAACTCCCGGCTCGAGAGGATCTCAGACTGGCAACAGCAAACCGACTCTGATCTCTCCTGAAGACTTCTAGTGTGTGTTGTGTTGTTGATGAGGACTCGTCCAGGACTGTCATGTCCGTTGGGAACACACACCGGAGGAGCTCGGATCGACCCCTGCTCCTGCTCCTGCTCCTGCTTTCTCTGGGCTCCCGGATCTCAGCGTTTAACCTGGACGACAGCACCGTCCTCATCAAGGAGGGCGAGCAGGGAAGCTTCTTCGGCTTCTCGTTGGCTTTACACCAGCAGATCACACCTGAGCCGCACAGCTGGTGAGTCACACACACGGGGAAATAGGACTTTATGACTCTTGTTTTTTCAGGACAAATATCTCAACATTTTCAAATCAAGATAGATTTACTTGAGAAGTAAAACTACTGAAGATACTAAGTCTCGCTTCATGAAAAATGCGTCAAATTGAAGTGAGTTTGTGCTTAAAACAAGAACAAACGGTAACACTTTATTTTACAGTGTCTTTGTTACATATGTTACATGTACTTACTGTAGTAATGAAAGTAAATTATGCATAATTAATACATGCAACTAACTCTAAGTAAGTACATGTAGTTAAATAATATCACACAGTACTTAAATATATAATTACACTGTAACAATGACACCTTAAAATAAAGTGTAACAAAAGGGTAAAGTGTGAAAATAAACTTGTTTTCCTTTTGAATTAAGATTATTTGGTTACACTTTATTTGTTACACTGTAATTATACATTTAAGTAATATTAAGTAACTGCATGTACTTACTATAGGGTTATGATTTGGTTTGGTTTAGTTGCATGTAAGTATGCATAATGTATAGTTATTACTGTAGTAACTACATGTAACACGTGTGACAATGACACGGTAAAATAAAGTGTTACCTATTATTTTTCTGAGCTCACTAGCACATATTTGTTCTTGTTTTAAGCAACTCTTTCAGTAAACAAGACTTAATATCTTCAGTATTTTTTCTTCTTCTTGTTTTAAGGATGTTTAGATGTTTGTGCTGCAAAAATATTGAGTAAGAACAACATTTTTTTGTTGTGCATGTCCTGCACTATTGATTCAGCTCATGTAGATGGCAAAATATGTATTTAATAGTGTGTGTGTGTCATGTTGAATGACTCTGCAATCAGAGACGGATCTGTTAATATTCAGGATGATGTTCAGTCAGTGACACAGCACAGCAGATATGATCCAATACACACTGTTAAAGCTGGATGCTTCTGTTCTGTCAGACATACAGTGTGTGTGTGTGTGTGTGTAAGATGAGTTACAGTGAGAAGCATTACGCTTTGATGACCTCACTGCTTATTATCAACTATTATTAGTAGCCAGCATCACGGTTATAGTTGCTCTCTAAGCACTCAGTATTATAGTTCCTGCAGCATTTGTGCTCTAGACATAAACAAATCCTCTCATCATGTGATCAGACGCACCAGTTTCACCGGCTGGACCAGAAAACAGATGAAAAGAGAGAAGAGACCAGAATCTAGACTCTGTTACTTGATAAAAATCACTCTTGTGATCTTGTGTGGAGTAAAATGAATGGTTACTGTAATTTGATATATAAGTAACTATAAGTAACTACATGTCACTCTAACTCTCATTAGAGTATTAGTAGACTGTTAGGTTCGGGTTCGGGTTAGTAGAATAAGCTGACATGTAGTTGTAAAGTTACTTATAGTCAGTAAAACGTCTAAAGTGAACTTTCGAAGTGTTACCAAATTACAGGTGAAACTCGAAACATTTTAATATCGTGCAAAAGTTTTTTTATTTCAGTAATTCAACTTAAAAGGTGAAACTAATATATTATATAGACTCATTACATGCAAAGTGAGATATTTCAAGCCTGTATTTGTTATAATTTTGATGATTATGGCTCACAGCTTATGAAAACCTTATCACAATATTCTAATTTTGAATTTGGGGTTTTCATAAGCTTTAAGCCATAATCATCAAATAAAGGCTTGAAATATCTCACTTTGCATGTAATGAGTCTATATAATATATTAGTTTCACCTTTTAAGTTGAATTACTGAAATAAATGAACTTTTGCACGATATTCTCATTTTTCGAGTTTCACCTGTAAATGCATGCATATTTCTTCGCTTTTATAGTTGTGTCACATTGTGAAGAACGAGTCAGGACTGTCTTCTATGAGTCACATGATCACAGCTTTATTCAGGATCATCAGCTCTACTATGACCTGTCAATCAACATCAATACGCATTGATTTGAATGGAAATCAGGAGCAAAGCATTTAGAGTCTATAATAATGCATAATACTGTCGGTCAGGATGGTCGACTAGTGACCCAACAACCGACTGGTCACTTTGTGAGGTCGACTAAAGGGAATTGATGTCTCAGTCTCAGACGTCACACACCGTTGGCTGAGCGTCTGATGCACAACACACACAAAATGGGAAACACTTCGTTTCGAAGCCGCCGTATGATTTTCCAGGAGACGTGCGTGTCTCTTTTTCTTCAACGATCCACCTAGAAACAAATACATATATGATCAGTTTAGTGTTTGTTTTTTAATGTATTGAGTGTTGTGCCTTTGAGAAGTCAAGTTAAAATAGTTTAAACTCGTGTTTTCAGACTACTGTGATGTGATTAAACAGGGCTTCATCATTTACACATTCTCGCTCTCTAAATGATGTGTAAATGTATTTCTGTAGACAGTGTCCATCAGAGCTGTATGTTTACTAGTGTCCGACACACACTCGTCTGTCTCTGGCGTCTAAAAGGAGGTTGTGTGTGTTTAAGCTATAAGGTTACAAGATGCTGTTTTAGCCAGAAGCTGTTAAAAGCTGTCAAGGTTTCAGTCTAGGCCGAAGCAGAAAGGATTCACCGTGTCTAATTTGACCAACTCGAAATTAGTCGAGAGGTAATCAGACTTACTTTTCTGATTCAAATTAGGTCGAACTAACTTTAAAAAGTTAGGACCAATCTTGAATCATTTTTTTGAGTTCGGGTCACCAGCAGATCTTTCTGTTCACTTGTTCAAAAGTTACAAATAATGCATTGCTTGATGAGCTCTCGTCTTACAGCATTAATGAATGATGTAACAACAAATCCTTCATTAATGGATGTAACACCAAATCCTTCATTAATGGATGTAACAACAAATCCTTCATTAATGCTGTAAGACGAGAGCTCATCAAGCAATGCATTATTTGTAACTTTTGAACAAGTTGTTGTTGTTGTCTTGGTTTTATTTCTATTTCTCAGGTTGTTTAATTTATATATATTGTTTCTTGATCCTTGAAGGGAAACTTCAGAAGTGCAGCCAGACATAAACCCAATCTCTGTGACTCACTTCTCTCCTTCTTTATAAAGTTTTAGATTACAATATTAGTAGTGGATTTGGAGTTTGATGTTATTGGATCCGGGGAAGTTCCCTGAAGGAACCCGTACATGTTTGTGAGATCGTGATTTCTGACGCCTCAGGACAGTGATCTCTCTCTGACTCACAGTGAGATCAGATCCACCGTTCCCAGTGTGCGGGCAGTAAATGCACATTTGGACACAATCGATAGGCGTTGTGTAAGGAAGTCATGTGGTGTGGTCTGTTACTGTGTGTGAGCTCTATTTATACAGTGTGAGATCTGCTGCCCGTTATAGAGCGCTGCTGCTATACGAGACGCGACCCGACCCTCAGACTCCTGCACTGACGCGGAGTCTCATCAATATACAGTTATTTAGATTGTTTAGGAAATACTGCCGCTGTCACCCATCTCCATCTACACACACACACACTTCTTGCCAAGGCTTTCAGAGGGTCATGACAAAAAGACTTTATTTCGACAGTTCACTTTAGACATTCTACTGACTATAAGTAACTTTGCATCTACAAGTCAACTAACAGTTATTAGAGTACTCGACTGTCTGATTAATATCTGCTTAGTGTGTGTGTGTAAGAGAGAGAGAGAGAGAAGAGAGAGAGAAGAGAGAGTGTGTGTGTGTGTGTGAGAGAGAGAGAAGAGGGAGAGAGATTGTGTGTGTGTATGAGAGTGTGTGTTTGTGTGTTTGTGTGTGTGTGTGTGTGTGTGTTTGAGAGAGAAGAGAGAGAGTGTGTTTGTTTTTGTGATATATGAGGACACAAATGTGTATAATGACATGCATATTACACTGGTATTACAACTTACACGTGATATATGAGGACATTGCATGTGTTTGAGAGAGAGAGAGAGAGAGTGTGTGCGTGTGTGTGTGTTTGAGAGAGAGAGAGAGAGAGAGAGAGAGAGAGTGTGTGTGTGTGTGTGTGTTTGAGAGAGAGGGAGGGAGTGTGTGTGCGTGTGTTTCTGTTTGTGTGAGAGTGTTTGAGAGAGCGAGAGAGAGTGAGTGTGTGTGTTTGAGAGAGAGTGTGTGTGTGTGTGTGTTTGAGAGAGAAAGAGAGAGATAGTGTGTGTGTGTGTGTGTGTTTGAGAGAGAGTGTGTGTGTGTGTGTGTGTGTTTGAGAGAGAGAGAGAGTGTGTGCGTGTGTGTGTGTGTTTGAGAGAGAGAGAGAGAGAGAGTGTGTGTGTGTGTGTGAGAGAGAGAGAGAGAGAGTGTGTGTGTTTGAGAGAGAGAGAGAGCATGTACAGCTGAGAGAGATATTGCGCTGCATCAGGAGGGGAGATCAGCTCATTGTCCTCCGGTTAGATGCCTTTCACACACAGTCTTTCTCATGCTAATGAGTTCCCAGCGTTCTGGAGCTCTTGTCCCGCATCCAGACGCCTCGACACAAAACCAGAGGCGAGACTCAGACCCGCACATTCTGTCTTCAAGATCTACAGCTTTCTTTCACACTCACGAACACAAAGCTTGTTAAATACAGTCAGGGGCTCAGAAAAGGACATGCATTATATGCAAGGCCTGGACATTTGCAAGTTTTGCAAAACCCTTGTATTAAGACACGATGCCATGAACCTTACAAACTCACAATCTAACAAATGTTTCCCTCTAAACCACTCATTTTAACAGCCGGCTACACTCTCAGAGAAAAAGGTACAAAAGATTTCACTGGGGCGATAACCTTTCAAAAGACACACAAAAGTCTGACATTAAAGCTATCTTCAGTGTGCAACTTCAGATCACAGAAAGCATTTAAGCTACACACACATGATTGTATAAATTGGCTGTGGGGTCCAAAAATTCAAGCAAATGTGTAGATGTTTCCCTCTCCTGTCATTGCACTTGCAAAGCATTTATTTTAAATAAAAAATCCACTAGCACACTCACCAATAAAACATTTAAAGAGGCCGTATGATGCCATTTTACAAAGTCTTTTG